TGTTTTCTTAATTATGTTGCTAAACTTGTTCTTCTCTTAAAATGGTGTCGAATGTAATGGAAAGAGAAAATCCAACTGGTCAGTCGGATGTACCCGAAATGCGATGAAGTATTAGGGTTTATTCACAGAACGCAAATGGGTTAACCCATTTCTTCAAAGTTGTAGAAAATATTGGGAAAAAACGCGAAATTTTGTGGTTTTTTGAAAAAATATAAACAAGTTTCCCCAAAGTATTATAAGATTCTGGGGAAATTTCGGGTGTTTTGTGCCATTTCCCCAAAATTTTCTACAGCGGCTTCAGTCAAAACAGATAAAATTCTACCCATAATAGGGAGGTTGGGATCTCATAGGGTATATGAATAAAAGTAAGAAGTCAAGGCGGAAATCATTCCCTTCAAGCGATTATGTACATTCAGAACATAAGATCACAATATGTACTGTAAATGAATGAACTGACGTTAATTCCCAAAAGTACGTTCGTTTTAAAATTTGACGTGAGCTCTAGTAACCTCTATGCAACGTAAGATTCGTAACTAACTACAATCCCATCGATTACTGAAGGGTTCAACTGAACAGTGCGAACAGGTCATGCATACTTTGTACAGCAATACCCGATCGTTGCTGCTACATTGACGTGGTGGTCGGGCTTGTCTATCGTGATGAACCAATCGAGATATACTACCTGGAACAATCGTTCCTCAAGGCCCTACCATGCCAGACAGGTCACTAACTTCTAGTCTGAACCATGTTGGTAGATGCAGATTACTTGGTTGGGGTCCGCCTGACTGTCTTAACCAATGGCTGATGACTCTTGGTGACATGGCTCGGAATCGATCACAATGGCGTAGGTGTATACACTCTCTGTCTTCCCTTAAGCTATGAAACTAGAATCGCTTCATATCTTTCTTTCTACGAACTAATTCTTTCTTCCTGTAATATGTCCTTATATGCAATCTTTGTTTTATATATTACCACCACTGAATTAACCACTTAAGTGGTTATGAATCCGGTGTCCATCTTGTTGTGTTAATGAGGTATGGCAACTTGGACCGATGCATAAATGTGCCTGGTCCTACGTTGTAGCTGACTGACCGTACATTAATCTATTGACTCAAATACAACCACAGGTGCACTAAGTAACATTTCACATAGTTTATACTACTTTTGGTTAATTTTGTGTACCCTATATCTTACATCATGCAAGTAAGGGTGGTATGCTGAATCCGTCTTCTTTCTTATATCTCTCACCAAATTAATAACTAGTCGAGAACGCAAAACATCTGACCAACAATGTTATCCATGCTTGTTATCCACTACAAATCCTTCCGCAAAATCGGTAAATACTAATACCGATCTTTCTTTTTGTTCCGTCTTATGTATATTGAGTGGTTAGTTGCTGTGACAAAATGTAAACCAACAATAGTTCAGTTTTTCAAGAATCTGCTCCATGCTTACTTCTTGACACGCCTCCAACTTATGTAGTCGGTTCGATTATTCGCTCATGTACATCACCTTGGTGTTTGTCTGCATCAAAAATATAATACAAGTACAGAAAATAAATATCGATATAGGCTACTTGTTTGACGTAGTCTATATTATATTTGACTGTGGATTCAATAGGCTAAGCGGTGATACGATTTCAATCTTGGAAGGATTGAATGCTAATAGTTTACTACATATATACTTACTCAACGATAGGTGAGTTGTCTGTGGAAATATTGACGCTCGGATACTGAACTGGACAGAAACCAGGATCCGTTTTTATAGCTTCTAATTCCTCGGAGGTTTATACGTACTCGATCTCTATTTTCTTTGGTTCTCTTGCAATTTCTTTTTTGGATGGAACCATGAGTTTACCCACTTCACCTATTCGAATGATACGGTAGTGTATCGTCCTGGTCCATATTTTTCGTAAGATAATGATGGTAAATCAGTTGATGAGGTTGTTAATCTTCATCGACTGAGGTGGTTGGGCCACGTGTTACGTATGCCTGAACACCGATTACCACGACGTGCAATGCTAACCGGTGTTCGGGATGGTTGGAAGAAAGTAAGGGGCGGCCAAACCAAAACGTGGCATCAGTGCTTGAAGTCGCTAACCTCTAGTCTGAGCCATGTTGGTAGATTCAGACTACTTGGTTGGGGTCCGCGTGACTATCGTAACCAATGGTTGGAGACTGTTGTTGACATGGCTCAGAATCGATCACAATGGCGTAGGTGTATACACTCTCTGTCTTTCCTTAAACGAAGAGATTAAAATTGCTTCATATCTTTCCTTCTACTAACTAATTCTTTCTTCCTATACTATATCCTTATATGCAATCATTCTCCTATATATTACCACCTTTGACCTAACCACTTCTATGAATCCGGTGTTCATCTTGCTGTGCTAATGAGGTATGGCGACCTGGACCGATGCACATATGTGCCTGGTCCTACGTTGTAGCTGACTGAATGACTGACTAATGAAGAAGAACAGCCTGAACAGAAAGGATGGTATTCAACTAGCGACCACCTGGCAGATTTCCTTTTGACAAGTAATTTCAACCTTCTCTTTATTCAACCTGTTTATTTCACATGCATCGCTATTTTTAAATGAATTCAATGAGTTTTTAGCAATACAATTATGTATTTGTTTGATTCTTAAATTTGACATGCACATCGATGATTCGGACAGTGTACAAGCGATTGTCTGATGAAATCCAGTCTATGAGAGCCTGTTCCGCTTCTGAACTTCGTGCCATACCTATACCAATGAGGTCACGAGGGATGGTAGTCGAAGTCCCCAGATACATGGAGGGCAAGTCGTCCCGTTTCTCCGTATTGACTGTCCGAGGTCAAGTGGGTGACCACACCTTGATATACGGCACACATTGACGGCGCTGGATACTACAATCCTATACTAGCTACGTAAGTCTTTTGGCTTGTTTGACATACGGTCCGAAAGTTGACTGTTGTCAAGAGACCAGGAGTAACATTTTATGGGCTCAGATAGTTAGTGCACGGGATAAAGTCATATGTGAAGGGTTAGTGGTTGAGTTGAAAAAATTTCATCCGACGAAGAGACTTGATAGTGGACAAGAGGATCTCTAGTGCTGTTACAGGTATGAAGGTAGTTGTCACTTGGGAATCAGTGTCATCTTATTCACTCACAGTACCTACTGTGGTTTTATTTTCTTCGTGTACAATCCCTTGCTATCATTGATTCACGTCTTGATTTTCTATTTTTGTTTCAGAATACTTTAGACATAACTGAGTCCAATTAATATTAATTCGACGGAAAAATCTTATTATTCACTATTCTCGTCTCCAAACTGATATTTGTAAATATACATAAAGGTCTCTTTACTGTAAAAATTCATTTTGTTCTAATAAACATTGCAACTGATAATACGCCTGTCTTTTCAATGGGGCTATCTCAGTATTAACCCGAAATTTTGTCCGTTATGTCTCGATGTTGGGAGCTTGGGTCTGTGTTTAAATATGTTATTAGTTTTAAAAATTATTTTAGTGCATGCCTATAAAGTGGAACAACTGTTTGATTTATATTATGTTGAAATTAATCATATTTGTTTGATGTTAGGCATCGTCATCGTATAAGCCGGAGATCGTCATTTCGTACAAGATTACAGGTATATCTTGTTGAGGAGCGTCCGATTGCACAGAGCCTAGGTCGAGGGTACCCTATCGACTATATCCAACCGCCACCTTACATCTCAACATAGTGCACACGATGTCGAGTCACCTAGACTAGTGGGCACATTGCTACTTAATCGATATAACTTGATCTTTACTAAGGATCTGACATACATGACGTTGGTCACTATCCAGTCAGTTGTAAATACACCTCAGTTCTGCAGGAGGTCAGTCGCGGTTCTAACAGCTCAGTAGTAATGTCTTTGACTCCCAACCACCACCTTACATTGATAGTTATAGCATTCCGAGTAACAGTGATGTTTACATCACCGAGCCCCCATATACCCTGGTACGGCCGAGGGTGGGGAGAGTCAGCTCTCCCTCTCGAAATGCTCTCACATGGCCACGTGTATACAGCCACTGAAAGAGAAGTTCTACTCACTACCTTCTCGCGGCGGGGGTGCTTTTTCACGAAATTGAGAGGACGAAAAGTGGATATCCGGCGCTTTAACCGGGTTGGTGGATATAGAGGATCTACCTAGGGGAGTTGGAAATCTCTGATTCCAAACCGATAGTGCACATGGGCTGCAGTATCCTGAGAGAACAAATAGTGTATGAACCAATTATTGGTCAGCGGCTACCATGGGACTGCATCTCCTTACGTTGCTCCACTGCCTTGTGGATCAGACCTTTAGGTTAAAGGCTCCGGGTGTGGTCTTTTAAGATAACCACCTTCTTCGATCTGGCACACAGGCAGTATCACAGCCCACATACAAATCAAGTGGCTTACTTGTGTGGCGCATATGTATTCGGTGCTCCTTTGTACCAATATGTGTTCAAATAAATAAAACCACCGAGAAGTTAATCTGCAGCTGATAGACGCACAAGTTTCTGTTGTAGTACATTAGTGGGTGAATATTTTCCATCCAAGATTATTAAACAAGAATACGCTTCACAAGAACTAACTGTCTACACTAAGCTCTATAGTCCTAATAGGGCGATATCTGCTGGTCATAAAGCAGGGGTTCCTTTTAGTTTTGATTTCAAATGTCTAACATACTGTTCAGCAGTCAGCTCTTTTTTGTTTCGTAGATATAGAAAGTAGCTACCAAATCCAGACAACTGATTACCATTCATATCTAAGTATCAATCACTTGGTTTTGTATTAAATATACCATCTGAAAGGTGAAAGTAATGTGACAATAGATTAGTACGTTTGAAATTAAATAAGATTTGGATTCACGATCTATCAGATTTTGGCATTTACTGTTGTCGAAAATATTCGATAACACTGAATTGATTTGCATGTAGAGTTCAGCAACAAACGTTTCTATTGTAAGATAATTATCTGTTTATTTAGCTATCAGAGGAGAAAATTAAAGTAATTCTACGTGCTGGAACCCATAAACCATGTGAACACGATCGGGTCATTGTCGATGTCTCACTTGTTGTTGATGCCAAAGTGATTCTCCAGAACCAGAATATTACTTTTGATGTGGGGCATGCAGAGGATTTTGGAGTTATGAAGGTTGTGGATAATATAGTCCAAGAAATGGGCTGTGGGGAACAGTGTGAAGTGACTCTTACATCTGACTACACCTTCACAGATTTGGAGAAGACATTTTTGAAAATCGATGATGCATGTTTCCACAAAATATTGTTTAACATATATCTCCAAGATGTCAAAAAGGTAGGTCGATAAAATGATATTCACTCAAACATCCGTAGCTTGCAGAGTTTTGGCAAATGTCTGAAAGTGAAAAGTTTATTGTTGCTGATGTGATGAAATATCGTGGTAATAAACTTCTGAATGTAAGTACTTTTGAATTCGGTAAACTAACCTCGAAATCTAGTGGTTACTCTTCTTTTCGTTATATTCAGTCAATAAAAGGATTCGGGTGCTGCGATTGCAGAGTGATATTTGTTATCAAACATTAACCACCTACTATCTCAATAAACAAAAATGGTTTCTCTTCAGTATATGTTGGACTCTATAGCTTCTACTCTGCTTTAAGTATTTTGTAGATCTGTGGTGTGCAGTCAGTATCCCTTAGTCCGACTAATTTGATTAATAGTGTCTGTTAATAAATAAAAATAGGTTGTCTCGTTTTCTAGTTGTGACTCATTCTAACAGTCAGCGTCTTTACAAACTGATTCCATGCCTTAGTTTAGCCGCTCCTAGCTTGCTCCCAACCTATTTCTAAACCAGCCATCATAGCTCGTCTAGGTAGTTGGTGGGTGGATATACTTAATACGTGTCCTAATCACCTCAGTCGATAAAGATTTACTATCTCGACAATTGATTTACCATCCTCAACTAGTGCTCTGCGTTTAACCTCACAATAAGTAACTCGTTGATCCAAAAAAAGTATACGAGCAGTGATCCGAGGACACTTATGGTCGAATACTAGTGACCTACGTATATCTTCTATTTTTAAAGACCACCTTTCACAGACATAAAGTGGTACGGAACTAACCGATGCACAGTATAGTCGTTTTTTTATTTTGCAAACGGATAAATCACTCACGTCACAAGTGATGTAAGTTGGAAAACACCAACTGGGCTTTCTAAATTCATGCAGAGCTTTCGTCAAGCATCAACCTGTGGAGGGTGATGAGACTTCCGAGATAATTGAAGTGATAGACGTACTCAACTTCCTGTTTTCAGTTCAGCTGCTGGCGCAGATCAATCCTATGCACCATTTTATGTTTAGAGAGACTTAAAATCGAAGAGTACGTCTCGAAAGCGGATGAATTCGATAAACAGGAAGTATGAAATAATATTTAGTCTCGCCACAGTGATCAATCCTGAGGCATATCACCCAACTCTTTCAATCGCTGATCGAGGTCATCCCAAAGACCCAACCCAGTTAGTCTCCACTTGCCAGTATGACTCAGCCTAATGACTTCATGGATTGGTACTGTGTCTTGGTTTGATCATCCCTAGTCTTCTTCTAAACATTACTACTTCTGCCAAATTTGTAGGATATCCCGATCGTTTGCTTATTTCAGTCATTTGGTTTGTACGGTGTGATTCGTCATCATTCAAGATCTGTTATGTTTGTAGAATATCAAATAGAGTTTTTCCTTCCGTATGATTCTGAAAGTCCTGTTGTTTTATTCACGTACCCAGAAGAAACCTTATTTACCTTTATTGTTCAGATTTCCGATTCATTTTGCGAGTTTATTGATGTGGTTATATGTTCGTAGTAATAAACTATACCCAATCGCCGTTTAGTTGAATTTTTGAACCGTTAAGGTTTTTTGGTTCTTAGTCTCATACACACTGAGACATACATTCACACAGCTTTTGTGTTTACTTTAAGAGCTTTCTACCTTGGATCTAACTACCTGTCTTGAGGTCTTGTGCTGTTTCAGAGGTTTTTGAGTTGATAACACAGTCATATTTGCAACAGACTCTTTACCTCAAGAAAAACAATGAAAAATGGCTATAATTGTGATGAATATAATGTCACTTAACTTGTCAAAATAACGATTATTACCATTATTAAACCAGTAAGCCTACGTACTGACTTACCTACGCCGGTTACCAATCGTGGACGAGCATAGGTCGCTCATCAGCACCGTCCATCCAACCCTTTCCAGTTGTTCCCAGTTGCTATTTATACTTTTCATATCTGCCTCCATTTCCCGACGTAGTGTGTTCTTCGGCCTTCCTCTTTTCCGCTTCCCTTTAGGATTCCAAGTTAGGACTTGAGTGATTTCCTCAATGCATGTTCTATCCACTTCCAACGACTCTCCGTAATTTCCTCTTCGGTTGGAAACTGGTTTGTCCCCTCTCACAGTAGGTTGTTGCTGATGGTATCCGGCCAATGGCTGTTACGTATATTGCGTAGACAGCTATTTATAAATACTTGTACCTTCTTGATGATGGTTGTGGTAGTTCTACGATTTTCAGCTCCGTACAGCAGGAGTGTCATGACATTCGTATTGGAAATTCTGACTTTGATATTGGTTGACAGTTGTTTTGAGTTCCATATATTGCTCAGCTGTAGGAATGCTGTCCTCGCCTTGCCAATCCTCGCCTTCACATCTGTATCTGATTCTCCTTGTTCATGGATGATGCTGTTCAGGTACGTGAGAGTTTTCACCTCTTCCAGAGTTTCTCCATCAAGTGTGATTGGATTGATATTCTCTGTGTTGTATTTGCAATGTAGTCCGTAGTATGAATGCCTGATGATATTGACCATCTTCTCAAATACACCATAGTGTCGAAAAAGTTTCCATGAAGTCCTCCTATACATACTGTAGAATGCTTTCTCATAGTCAACTGATTGTTCAACGATGATCCGTAGTGTCGCAATTTGGTCTGTGCACCACCGATCCTTACGGAATCCAGACTGTTGATCTCGAAATTGGGCGTCTAGTGAGTCTTTCATCCAGTTCATCAACACTCTGTTGAAAACATTTCCTGGTACTGACAGTAGTGTGATGCCTCTGTAGTTTTCACATTTGCTCGGACCGTTTTTCTTTGGAATCTTGATGAGGTGTATTTCTATCCAGTCCATCGGCACTTGTTCTTCCTCCCAAATCTTCTTGAGTAGAAGGTGACGCATGCTTGTAGTTACTTCGATGTCTGACTTCAGTGCTTCAGCTGGTATATTGTCAGGTCCCGCTTCTTTCCCAATCTCGATTTATCTGACGGCCATCCTGATTTATTCGATTGTTGATGGAGTGACATCTATAGGAAAGTCTGTGTGTGTTGCTTCGATGTCCGGTGGATTCAATGGAGCTGGTCTATTCAACAGTTCTTTGATGTATTCTACCCGTCTGGTCCTCTGTTCTCGATTCTCGGTGATTTTCTCGCCTTGTTTGTCCTTGATCGGTTTCTCTAGTTTATTAATTTTCCCTACCAGTTTCTTCGTTGTGTCATACAGTCGTCTCATTTTTCCTTCTGTTGAAGCTTTTCCTGCTGTCGCTGCTAGGTCTTCCACGTATTTCTGCTTGTCGGCTCTAATGCTCTTCTTCACTTACTTGTTTGCTTCTGTGTACTTAGCTTGTGCTTTAACTTTCTCTGCTCGTGTTCGTCTGTTGTTAATTGCTGTTCTTGCTTGTTCTTCCTTTCTTCAATCTTGTCCAGGGTTTCGATAGAGATTCATTCCTTATGATGACGATTCTTGCGGCCTAAAACCTCCTGACATGTTGAAGTTAATGCTTCTCTGATAATTTTCTACTTGTCCTCCATAGTACTTTCTTCCTTCAGTAGATCCTGTAAGGCTTGGAACCTGTTGTTGAGAGCTAACTCGAATGTGTTGAGTTTGTCAGTATCTCGAAGGAGGGCTGTATTGAACCTTTGTAATGCTGTTCCACCAGTTATACAGTGCTTCTTTAGCTTCAGTCTAATCTTGGCCACCACCAGTTGGTGATCTGAATCTATGTCAGCTCCTTTCCTGATTCTCACATCCTCCATTGTCCTTGTGAATTTTTACTGATGCAAATATGACCTTTCTGGTTCACCGTGGTGTGGTCCGGTTACACCCATGTAGCTTTGTGTATACGTTGACGTGAGAATATTGTGTCGCCTGTAACCAATTTGTTGAGTGCACATGAATTCGCAAATCTCTCCCCATTTTCGTTTCCTTCTCCCAGTCCATGTCGTTTCATGATATCTTCATACCCAGTGTTGTCCATTCCGAGTTTGGCGTTTAGATCTCCCATCAGAATGGTGAGGTCCTTTCTTGGGCACTTCGCTATGATTGATTGCAGCCTCTCGTAAAACTGATCTTTATTGTCGTCGTTGCTATCATTGGTGGGTGCACAACATTGGATAACATTCATTGTGATGTCCGTCTTCTTTCTTTTGAAGGATGGTTTGATGATTCTGGATCCGTGAGATTCCCATTCAGTAAGTACGTTTCGTGCTTCTTCGGACAGCATCAGAGCATTTTCCTCTTCGTGACCGCAGTACAGTAGCATCACTCCCATATCTAACCTTTGCTATCCAGCTTGGGCCCAATAGGTTTCGTTGATTCCGAATGCTTGCAATTTGTATCTCCTTATTTCCGTTACCATATGACTGGTCCTTCCGGTTTCCCACCTTTTCCGAACTTTCCATGTGCCTAGAAAAATTTTAGCTCTGGTTTTTAGAAGGGGCATCGGCCTCGTGACTTCCGTCACAACGTGGAACCTGTACGTATGTGCATTGGTTCAAGTTGGCATACCCCATTTATTAAATGTTACCCATTGATTGTGGTTTCAAACCCAGGTTCTCTTAATTCGGACGCTTGAATTAGAGTGAACTGTCATCTAGATCTGATTACTATTACACCTTCAGTAAGGCATAAATGTTCTTATTTTTAGGCCTTAGTTTTCCGGTCAGCTTCAGTTTTCTATTGGGAGCTATCAACAACAGTTTAAAGCAACAGAAATAGTATCTCATTGAAGTTTTAAACGCCTGATTCTGTTGCAAACTCACACAAAATTCTCCAGATTAAAATTTTTTGCTGATGAATAGATTTGCATTTCAGTTAGGTTATGTTGGAAATATGTGATCACGTAAATGTTTAAGATTCATTGTGCAATTGTCAGAGTTTCTTAACCACCTCTCATTGACTTCAAGATGTAAGAATAACACTGAAATTACAAGAAGGTTGTAACTGTTCTCATAAGTGTTGTTGCTAATATATTGTACTTCTTGCATTTATATTTACTTAAGGCTTTGACACATTTGTTCATTCCTATTTTTCAAACTTAGGTGTACTTCGTAAACGTTGTGTAGCATCGTGTTTAATTCTGATTTTATATAGTGGTTGTGTTGAAAATACGTTTTGCGTTTTTCTTTTATAAAGTACTCGGATTATTCGTATCTGACTACACTAGCTTCTTGGATGACAGTTTCAGCTAAAAGTACTGTAGACCAAGCTGAAACGACAAAGGTTCTTGTAAAATTCCTGAGTAAAATGTCGGATATGTTCTCGTAGATTATCGAGCTGTAAGTTTAAAGACTGTTTCAATGCCAATTTTCTACATTTCAGACTGGATTGTTGGTTCGTGCATTCAATTGCTACAAAAAAGCTATTAGAATCCTAGAGGGAAGCATCAGTGTGACTGACCGTAACTACACCGATCCAACGATGCCAGATTATCAGTTGTCAAAACCTAGCCCACGTCATTTATTAGCTATTTGCCTATCGAACGCAGCCCACTGCCTGTATAAATTTGGGACAACATGCACTGTCAATCCAAAGAAGTCTCGATTCGATTACCTTTCTGCATGTATCAAATGCTGTGAGCGAGCAGTCAGTCTTGAACCAAACTATATAAAGGCTTGGTTCCGTATAGCCAAAGTTAGTCTGTCGAATATGTGTATGCTTAATGCAGTATTGGTTATAAAATGCATGTAAAATCATTATTGCAGGTGTCGCTTGCACATCTTTTACGTGCTATCGTTTGAAGAAATGAACACCTTTGGTTCTGGATATCCGGCTTTTGTTCTTTTTAGATCAGTCCTATTAGTTATTTGTATATAAGAAAATTCATCTGTTGAAAACCAAGTGGTTGGAATCCGGGAAAAGGAGTATGATGGTTTGTCTCCTGAGAAATCCCATCACATATGCTACGATCAGTAAGCCGTCATCGGATTTCTAATCACAACGAAATTATAATTAACACAAAGCAGACAAGACGTTTCTACGTGTGAAATCATTACTGATATAAATTTCAAATTACATCAGTAATATAATTGTTTTTGACTGAATCCTATTTCTTAATACTTGTTTGCTTTTAGGTTCATGCTTTATTAGGGAACTATGAAGAAGCGCTTACAACTGGACAAAAGTGTCTTACATCTATCGATAAAAACACATATGATTCTAAATGGATTAGCGTCGATGAACGCACAAAAGTGGATATCAGCAACAAGCTCAAGAAACTGCTATCAGAATGGCGCGCTTCATTAGATAGTGAAGAGAAAATCGAAAGATCGATTATTCGGGACCGAACAATTAAAAAGTACTCATCTTATGGAGATTGGTGCGTAAGTGTCCCCACTTTATTTTCAGCAATTAAAAAAGTTCGATTTTTAAGCTATGCAAAAAGTAATGAATTGAATTTTCTATATTCTATACTCATTGTGTAAATACACTTCCATGTTTTATGATGAGTACTTATGTATGTGATGGTTATGAACATATATCAAATACAACTCATATTAAGTGCTACTGTAAAATACAACTAGGACTATTACGGTTTAAAGATAGTTTTCAACACAGACTGACCAGGGATTCTTTAGCCGATATCAATTTGTGATGAGTGTTATCCTCAAATTGAACTAATTTCCGGAGATCAGTTAAAATGAGCTATAGGTTAAGATATAACATTGTGGAGCTAAGTGAGAATTCATAATGAAAATATATAGACTTTCTTTCTTCAAGTGTTAAACATTGTACTATTTCCTGCCCATTTATTTTGTCAGTTTCCTCCGTTAACTTCGTATTATTTGCTGTTATGATGTACAGTAACTTTGGTGCATATATACTTGTGTTAAGTCCCGCGTTATTTATAAGTGGCGCACCAAAATTATATTAACATAGGTTTTAATTATGAATATTGTTGTTTTGTGAGAGATAATGACATCATTATTTACTGTTGTTTTTTAAAAGTATGATGAACTGGATGAAATAGAAAAATTGCCTATTTCAGTATGGTCGAATGATCTAGCAGAGAATATGATGTCTCTTCATGAAGAGCTTGAAGCGTTTGGAGAGAAAATGCCTGAATTTGAGGCTTGCCGAACAAGGGGTAAAGGTCGATTAACAACAATTCACGATGAAGACACCGATGAAGACAGTTTCCAAGAAAATGTGGCTTAAGCACCAAGTCAATTTGACGTACTTTTATTGGGAAAACAAATTTAACATTCACACGAACTATATAATGTACATTCATAAAGTATTAATTTTATACAGAAATAAGTAAATAAAAATATTATTACACATTTAAAAAATTGTTTTCATAGTTTCTGGCTGGGAACACGTTTAAGTTGAAATGCTGGATAAAGATTTCCCATTTTCATATAAGGTAGTAAAACATGTGGGACGATAATATGCTTATCCTAAAAATAAGACAAATGGAATAGTTTATTTCTCTAGTGTAAATGAAATCAGCGAATAAATTAACTCTTAGATTTGTTAATTAAAAAAATATTGACAGATCAATTCATCCTATTTAGCTGATGAGTTCAGTCCAATGTGAATTTTAATGAAAGATATTAATCCAGATCAGTCCTGAACCATATGATATATGATGGACAAGTATTGGTAAGATTCAAATTCTAAATAAAGTTGATGTAACTTATTTACGAAGTAAAGGTTTATGTATTTACCTCGGGTTCAGAATTTTTGTACGAAGATTAATGATACTACTACTCAACTGCCAAAAATGAAATAGGTAGAATGAGTTATGCATATTGGAACTCACTGGTTGATCGTTTCTGTTTGATTTGGTCGAAAAAAAGTGTCTTATGAAATTTGACCCAACAATATTTGTTGTTGTTGTATAAATTAACAATACAAAAATTGTGCACAATATTACTAATGACTAAAAGTGTTGTTGTGCTTAGTTAACAATTAGTGAATTCACGTACTTGAGTCTGGTGGGTCTCTATTAGGGCTTTCATTATACGTGGGATTGCACAGGCAGTTCCGTTTAACTGTAAATACCAAAAAACAAATAAAAACATTGACAGTTAAGATCAAGGATGTTATAAAAAATGCTTTATTAGAAGACAACTTTTTGTATCAATGAATTAACCTACCACTGAAACGATATGTAGACTGATGAAATCGCAAGTTAATCATTTAACTTCAAGCATAATACTTTTGGTGTTTACAGACGATTATATTAACAGAATTTAATACTACAAATGAGTTTTTGGCAGGATGCAAGTTTAAGGACTGTATGTTCATAACTTTCATCGTTGAAATATTCACTATGGCTTTCAAACATTGAACTCCGCCTGTAGCTCTTATAGGGTTGCTGCCGGTCCCAAGCCCGGGTAAAGGAGGAGGGTTGGGCATGGGGTTAGCCACCCCATCCCACACAAAACTAACTCATTAAAAAAACGCTTACCAGAAAAAATAATCCAAACCATTTTAACTCTGCCCTGGGAGTTAGAAGGTCTTCATTTAGAAGAATTATGACGCTTCATGGTGAAAGCCGAGTTCCTTCGGAAGCCACGAGGCCGATGCCCCTTCTAACAACCAGAACAAAAATTTTTATAGGTACATGGAACGTTCGAACAATGTGGGAAACCGGGAAGACCAGTCAAATATCAATGGAAATGAGGAGATACAACTTAGCAGTACTGGGAATCAGCGAAACCCACTGGACCCAAGCTGGACAGAAAAGGCTAGCTACGGGAGAGATGCTGCTATACTCCGGTCACGAAGAGGACAATGCTCCACACACTCAGGGAGTCGCTCTTATGCTGTCCAAAGTAGCACGAAATGCACTTGTAGGATAGGAATCTCACGAATCCAGAATCATCAAAGCATCATTCAAAACAAAGAAGGAGGGGATCTTAATGAATATCATCCAATGTTATGCACCCACCAATGATAGCAACGACGAAATTAAAGATCAGTTCTACGAGCGGCTACAGTCAATCATTGAGAAATGCCCAAGAAAGGACCTAACTATTCTGATGGGAGATCTAAATGCCAAAGTCGGAATAGACAACACTGGATATGAAGATATTATGGGACGACATGGACTGGGAGAAAGAAACGAAAATGGAGAAAGATTTGCAAATCTATGCGCATTCAACAAATTGGTCATAGGAGGCACAATATTTCCACACAAGCGTATACACAAGGCTACATGGATCTCACCGGACCACACTACAGAGAACCAAATAGATCATATTTGCATCAACAAAAAATTCCGAAGGACAATGGAAGATGTGAGAACCAGGAGAGGTGCTGACGTAGCTTCAGATCACCACCTAGTTGTAGCCAATTTAAAACTAAAGCTAAAAAAGAACTGGACAAGTGGACAAACAGCAATACAAAGGTTCAATACAGCCTTCCTTCGAGATACTGACAAACTCAATGAATTCAAGATAGCTCTCAACACCAGGTTCCAAGTCTTACAAGATCTACTGAAAGAAGAAGAAACTACCATGGAGGACAACTGGAAAGGCATCAAGGAAGCATTAACTTCAACGTGTCAAGAGGTTCTCGGTCTAAAGAAATACCATCATAAGGAATGGATCTCTACAGAAACACTGGACAAGATCAAAGAAAGGAAGAACAAGAAGGCAGCAATAAACAACAGCCGAACACGAGCAGAGAAAGTCCAAGCACAAGCTGAATACATAGAAGCAAACAAACAAGTGAAGAGGAGCATTAGAGCCGACAAGAAGAAATACGTTGAAGAACTAGCAACGACGGCAGAAATAGCTGCTAGAGAAGGAAATATGAAACAGCTTTACGATACAACGAAGAAACTAGCAGGGAAATACAGTAAACCAGAGAGGCCGGTCAAAGACAAAGAAGGCAGGAAAATCACCGAAATTCAACAACAGCGTAACAGATGGGTAGAATACTTCGAGGAACTCCTGAATAGGCCGGCTCCAATGAATCCACCGGACATCGAAGCAGCACACATAGATCTTCCTATAGATGTCAATCCACCAACTACGGAAGAAATTAGAATGGCCGTCAGACAAATCAAGAACGGGAAAGAAGCAGGACCCGACAACATACCAGCTGAAGCACTGAAGTCAGACATCGAAGCAACCACAAGCATGCTTTATCTTCTATTCAAAAAGATTTGGGAGGAGGAACAAGTGCCGATGGACTGGAAAGAAGGACACCTCGTCAAGATCCCAAAGAAAGGAGATCTGAGCAAATGTGAAAACTACAGAGGCATTACACTACTGTCAATACCAGGGCAAGTCTTCAACAGATTGTTGCTGAACCGGATGAAGGATGCAGTAGACGCCCAACTTCGAGATCAACAAGCTGGATTCCGTAAGGATCGGTCGTGCGCAGACCAAATTGCAACACTACGGATCATCGTCGAACAATTAGTTGAGTGGAACTCATCACTATACATCAACTTCATTGATTATGAAAAGGCATTCGACAGTGTAGATAGGAGGACATTATGGAAACTTCTTCGACACTACGGAGTTCCTGAGAAGATTGTCAATATTATCCGGAACTCATACGACGGACTACAGTGCAAAGTAGTGCATGGAGGACAGCTGACAGATGCATTCCAAGTAAGGACCGGAGTAAGACAAGGCTGTTTACTCTTTCCCTTCCTCTTTCTTCTGGTGGTCGACTGGATTATGAAGACCTCAACATCTGAAGGAAAACACGGAATACAATGGACAGCTCAGAACCAATTAGACGATTTGGACTTCGCAGATGACCTAGCCCTCCTATCACGTACACACGAACAGATGCAGATGAAGACAGCCAGTGTAGCAGCAGTCTCTGCATCAGTAGGCCTCAGCATCCACAAAGGGAAAACTAAGGTCCCTAAATTCAAAGCAGAGAACAGCAATCCAATCACACTTGATGGCGAAACTCTGGAAGATGTAGAGTCCTTCACATACCTGGGAAGCATCATCGATGAACAAGGAGGATCCGATGCAGACGTAAAGGCAAGGATCGGCAAAGCAAGGGTCGCATTCCTACAATTGAAGAACATATGGAACTCAAAACAACTTTCAACCAATATCAAAGTGACGATCTTCAATACGAACGTCAAGGCAGTTCTACTGAATGGAGCTGAAAATCGTAGAACTACCACAACCACAATTAAGAAAGTACAAGTCTTTATAAATAGCTGTCTACGCAAGATACTCAACATCCATTGGCCGGATACCATCACCAACAGCCTCTTGTGGGAGAGAACAAATCAGCTTCCAGCTGAAGAAGAAATTAGGAAAAGACGATGGAAATGGATAGGACATACATTACGCAAATCATCAAACTGCATCACGAGGCAAGCCCTAACTTGGAATCCTGAAGGGAAGCGAAAAAGAGGAAGGCCAAAGAACACATTGCGTCGAATAATAGAAGCAGATATGAAAACGATGAATTACAACTGGACGGAGCTGAAAAGGATTGCCCAGGACAGGGTTGGATGGAGAATGCTGGTGAGCGGCCTATGGTCCTTCACGAGGAGTAACAGGCGTAAGTAAGTAAGTAAGTAAGTTTCAAACATTGGGTTGCGGTGGCTCAGTGGCTAAGGTGTTTGATTTTCAACCGTCAAGCTCCGCCCTACCTACTTCGGTTTGGGCAACCGGGTTGCATTATTAGACTTTATACTTACAGTGTGCCTCATATTAAAGTACCTATATCATTAGTTAACTTATATTTAGAAATTGAAAAAAGGTCCCAAACAATAGCTTAAAACCGGTTAAATAAACTAAAACTTTGTTATTACAACATGGTAAATAAATATGTATTTTGTTTTAATGACGTCGGAGTATTTAATACTACACAGATTTTCGAAATTGAACATAATTTTAGAGACAATCGGAACTATCTTTGAATAGTTTTACAAATATTTACTTCAATAAACAACATGAAGACCAACTGATCATTTGTAACTAGGTGCTTGAAATTCGACTCGATAACATCACAAGATTTGTGACAAAATCATAATTATTCTATAATGATTATCGTATTATAGTTTTTTTTAAAGACTTTAAATTAAATTAATATATAATTCACTACCATACTTACACAAATTCAAACGTTTATAGATGGAATATTATTAACTTTACATAATTAATTGAACGTTATTCGTAATAAGTAAAATAAACTAAGCACATCATATATGTAATACAAAT